GCTGTAAATCTCTCTGCAAATTGCTTCTCCATGGAGCAACCTGTGATTGTGGAGCCATGGAAATACAAAAGTTATCATGGAGATCAGATGAAACATTCACAGGGATTACACGACAGTCTGATTTGGTAAATCCGTCGTCCTCCAGCTCAAGCGTTACTTGGGCGATTGTAGCGATTACGTCCACAAATGAAACTCTTCTATGTAATAAATACATTAAAATTGATGGCCTCGTGTTTTTCTATTCACCAAAATAGTGTAGTGTGGTGATTTTTTTCCCCTTCATATAAAAATTTAGTTGCCTTTAAATTATAGATATTTTTGTCTTTTTATACGGTTTTTTAGATATTATAAATTTATTTTAAGATAGTTTGCTCAGTTCAATATATTTATAAACTGTAAAATAATATTTTGATATTTTTATTTTTTATACATGATAAAATTACATATGTATTCTTAGATTTTTTTCAGCTATAATTTTTTTTATTAATTGTTAGTTTGATCAATAACAGTTACATAATTTATTATTAAAATAATATTTTTAATTTTAAAAAAATATTGGCATGTGTAGCATTGAAATCGCCATATATTTTAGGCGGCGCATGCAACAACTCAAGGTGTTCAAAAATGAGCTTCCTTTATCTCATGTTATTCCTCAGCATCTCTCCTTCTATATAGAGTAGTACATGGTATCTAGAAGTTGCTGATTTATTATTAGTGATCAATTTTTTTCCTTTTTATTTCTCTTTTCTAATCTATGATTCTCATTATTATTGATATTTCAGATTTGATCCTTGTAATTTTGATTTATGTATTTTTTTTTCATTTTTTCATTTTCTCATTTGTTAAAGTTTTGTTGTTTTTCAATTTTTACTTTTAATTTCTTATTTTTGTTCTTTGCTCTTTCATTAAAATTTTTATGGCTTTCAATTTTATCCTTTATAGTTTTTGTTTTTTCAATGATAATAATTATTCCAATTTGATCCATCTCCTTTTGATTTTTCTTGGCTTCTTTGTTAAAGTTTTTATAGTTTTCAATTATATTCTTCAAATCAAGTTAATGGCTTTTATTTTTTTCAATAATATTAGTAACAATTATGATTATGATAAAAAAATAATAATAGTAATGTTAGTAGTTTAAATAATGATGAAGATAATAATATTATTGATAATAATAATAATAATACAAATAACAATGAATATTCTAATATTATTGATGATAATAATGATGATGATGATATTATTACTAATCATAGCAAAAATAATGATAATAATAATAATAATAATAATAAACTAGATTAGTGATGATAATAAGAATAATAATAATTGTAGTGGTAGTGGTAATGAGAATGATATTACTGCTACTATTAATAGTAATAATAATAGTGATAGTAAAATATTAGAGTTACTAGATACTTAAATGATCGTTAACTTCAAGGCCCATGAGATTAGTCCACTAGATACTTACATGATCGTTAACTTCAAGACCCATGAGATTAGTCAAGGTGTACACAAGCTGACCCAAACACCCAATTTAATATAAAAAAATAATAGTGGTAATAATAATAATGATATTAATAGTTATGATAATAATATTGATGGTAGTAATAACAGTGGTAGTGGTGATAGTGATAATTATGGTAATAATAATAATAACGGTTGTAATAATAGTAATAGTAATAGTTTATTACGATGATAACAATTGTGGTGATAATGATAATTGTAATGACAACGATAGTAATAATAATAATTATTATTATGATATTAGTAGTAGTAGTTTGAATATTAACTAAAAATAAAGCTTATGGCATTTTCATTGTACATAAAATCATTATTCGCTCTCTTAAAAATTATTATAGATTGGAGTAATGATTTTTTGAAAAGTTTCAATTTGATCTATGAACCTTTTTTTTTAATATAATTGAGTCATTTTAAGCCTAAATTAACACTCTATTGCATGTGTTTTTAAGTAGGAAAGGTTGAGTTTGATAGACAGGATTGAAATGAAAAACACGAATAATACAGGAGATGCTTTCAAATTTGTTTATGAAGTACATTTTAGTTCAACAGTTTTTTTTTATCTATAAGGTGACTAGTCCCTTTAATTTATATAAAATATGAATTTTAATACCAAACTTTATTTTGCAGTATTTTTTCATGGAAGGAGAGAGATAAATCATTGAATTCTGGTGAAGATAGAGAAAACTCTTTGTTGATAACAATTCTAACCGTCAAAAACATTAAAATTGGTGTAAACAAGTTTCACTAAGTGAGAGGAGTTTTATGGTGGTTATTTTAAACCTTGATGTAGCTTAAAAAACCATATTTAGGTCAAGGATGCAATTTTTTCCAATTTAATTTAGTTGTTTGGGTTGTTCTTGGGTTTAATAAATTGATAAGTTGGTTTCTTAACTTTCCAAGGGTATTTATATAGTATTTTATGGTTAAAATAAGTTAAAAATAAATTTTTTGCATAAAACATTTATAGGCATGATTTTCTGACCACTACAGTGCTGATTAGAATCTATACTACTAAATGACACGTCGACTGCTATAATGGACAACATGTAATTTATCTATTTTTTTTACAAAAATAATAAGTCAAAAGATAAGCACATGAGCGCGAGCCTAGTCTTTTTCTTTTTTGATACTTTTTTTTTAATTAATAACTTTTTTATGTCCTTTTAAAATAATTTTAAAGTTTGTTTTTTAATTAATACCTCTTACATGTCACTTTTTTTTATTGTCTTATCTAACCTTCTTTAAATGATGAATATCTTTCAATTATATTGGGTATCTTTGATCTCTTATAAGGTTAATATGATTTTTCTATAATTTATATATATATATATATATAAATCAAATTTATTTGTATGAATTAATAATATTTGTTTTTCATGATATTTTTAATATAGGCAACTTTACATAATATTTGTTCTTTTATTTTATTCAATAACAAATTCATTAAACATAATTAGGTAAACATACGTTTATCAATTTTTATTATAAATTAATTTTAATTAACAAATTCATTAAACATAATTAGGTAAATGACTCGTGTTGTGCTATTAAATATTACAAATTATCTTTTAATTATTGTAATTTTATTTTTTTAACCATCAATTTTCTTTTTCCATTAAATTATTTTGACCTCGTGATCTAGGTTGCATGATAGATATGTGATATTGACTTATCTCATATCTAGGTTATGGATTTTACGAGTTAACCCAAATTTGTTGAATATTTTATTTTATTTTATTTGCTGATACCTCATTTTTATTGTATTATAAAATTATTTAAATTTTAAATCAATCATTGAATTTCTCTCAATTTTTTCAAAACATGATTGTCTCTTATTTTTTTGGGTTAAATTTTTTTTGGCTCGTAATGTTGCACGTGCCACCTACCTAGTTAATTTCTAAAACAAATCAAACAACACATCCTTTAGTTTAATAATATCTTGCATTATAATATGACCTTTTCTACTAGTGTTAGGAAAAACTATATCGTCGCATATAAGATCAATTTTATTGAAAATTTTCATGTTTTGCTAATTTTTTTTATAAAAAATAAAGTAAACTATATAGACGTTAACTTGATATGATTTAGTTGATGTGGTGAGCAAACAACAAACCAAAAGATTGGTAAAAAAGTAGTTTGAGAAAAAAAAATTCAAAATGATATCTTCTTTGTAAAGATATTAATATGAAAACATATTAGATTGATCAATTCAGATCAACTCTAGTTAACTTGTTAAATTTGCAATCCTAATCACGAGAACATGATAACCCGACAAAAAGTAAATTGAATTTTTTTTTGAAGTTTAATTTCCAATCAACCTAACGTTGAATGATGAGATTAAAAAAAAAAGATAAAATCAATCTAGATTAATCTGCTAAACTCATATTTTACATTATGAGATCAGGATAATATAATAGAAAGTAAATTAAAATAAATTATGAAACTTATTTTTTTAATTAATTCAATATTGAATAATAAAATTAAAAAAATTAATTAAAAAAAGATTACAAAAAAATGACATAGATTAATCCACCACATCATGGTCCGAGGGTTCATAAGACCAAGATAACTTATAGATAACAAACAAAAAAACAATTATAGTCAACTCAGGTAAACCTATTGTATCCACAACTTAGGTCACGAGGCTAAGATAATACCATAAAAATTAAATCAAAATAAATTATAAAGCACAATTCTGCGTCAATACAATAAAATTGAAAAAAATCAATTTAAAAAGGGACTAAAAGAATAAACGTGGTCAATTCATATTAAATAGCTACAAAAATAAATTCCCTCATAAAAAAATAAATCATGAATAATAATTTTTACTTAATAAAATTTTGATGAATAAAATTAAAAAAATAAAAACCAAAATCAATTAAGTTAACTTATCAAACTTGTGATTTGAGTCGCAAAATTAAAATAACTTTATAAAAAATATAATAAATAAATTATGAAATTTAATTTTAACAAACCAAATATTAAAAAATTAAATTAATTTTTTTATTAAAAAAAACCAAGAAAACAGAAAAACACATAACACTGTTGAAATAATCAATGTTTGTTTTTATAAGGTGGTGCGTCGTAAAATGCGAAATAATCAATGTTTTTATAAGGTGGTGCGTCGTAAAATGACAATTGTTTTTTTTTTGTTTTTGATAAATTAAATAAATTTTGGAAAAGAAGCGTCATAGACTATGGTTATCCCAAGTTCGGTGCAGGAAATGCCTAGCTCAACGTGGGAATACGATGCCCTCTTTCCAAACAGCTTTAAGTTACAGGAAACACAAGTCACCAAACACGTGTCATATAATTAATCCCGTCACAACATATCGAGAACCTTCCTCGCTAATCGCCAAACAGGCAAGCACACACCGCCTCTCAACAAAAACGCGCAAAGCGGACCGTAGATTATTTTCTTAGCCAAAACATCACAGCCGTTGGATCTCTTAGGGTATCTATATACTTAGGTTCCTTCTATAACGCTGTCATCGTTTTCCCCTTCGAGTCGCCTCTTCCCCCTATTTATATTCCTCTCTACAATCTCAATTTTCAGATCCAAAAAAACTCTCTCGGGTTCTCTCTTTTTTGTCTTCAAATTCTAGTAGATCTTGAAATGATCTATCTTCTGTTCAAGCGTTCTCTAGGTCCCGGATACGATTTCTTGCGTAGGCTTCCCGGCCTATATAGATCTGATATCGATGTGATATGCCTCTCTTGGCTTGAAGTTGGATAGGAAAAGAAGGATCGTGCTGCCAATTAACGTAGTTTATGGAGGTATAATTTTTAGCTAGATCTATTCTGCTGATCTTTGATTTTATAATTTTCTTGAATTTTTGGAGATTTATATTTCGCATCCTTTTCAGTGTTGTGCTTCGATCTAGTGAAAATATTTTTTGCTGTAGAGAGTCCGGATTTCTTGCCGAGGAGATCTCTTCCTTGCAGGAAAACCTAAGGGTGAGTCGGTCTTTGGATTTTTTAAGATCTAGGGTTTATTACTTGATGATTTTTGTTTTTGTTGTCTTTTTATAAGCAGCGTATTAATTTCTGGATTGGTCTGAAACAGATTACACGGACTACGGTGATTCGCTTTTTTGCGGGATGGAGCAGGGGGTGTTGGCGTTTTGCCGGTGTTCGCGAGTATTAATAGGCTGCTAATGAGTTATGGGTAAATTATTTACATGTGCTTGATAATATATTCAGCAATTATTCTCTCCGATCATGTTAAATATAGAGTTTAGCGTGATCGGTGGTTTGTTGGGTGCGTGGCTGAGTGGATAAAAAGGTATTGAGATATGTAGATCTCTGATATATGTTGTTAATTGTGTCAGTCCGACCTTTGCCATGTCAGGTGCGCTTGCTTGGCAGGTCAAAAAACCTAATAAAAAAGAGAACATTTTTGGGTTTTGAAGGGGGAGATGGCACGGGATTATTTATTTATTTATTTTGCCCGGCTCTCCCCCTTCTGTGTTGGACAGGCTCCTTGTTTCCTTATCTTTCTACCCACTTTCTTGTTTCTGCCGGACGGATACCAAAAACATAGCACATCGTACACGGAAACCAATGTACCAGCAGGAATCAGCACTAACAACATCAATTCATCACCCCAAGGTATATTCTGGTATCGACAAGTTAATTTCCTAATATATTATTATTCCCTGTCTGCATTAAGTTATCTCCCAGCTTTTGTGGAACAGTTAACTATTTCATACATGATATCATAACACGAACTGATCACACTACCCTTAACTGTTCAACGGCTCTTGTTATTCATTTACAATATTATTTATAAACTTTGAGAAAAGGTTCATTTAAGTGTGTACACCTGGTGTAGATAAATTTGAGCCCTGGCATCTTAACGCACATGTGCACTGGAATAATAAGATGTTTGATTTGCAGCTACCTTCCGCATTCTAGCCATTGCTCACAATGTCTACAATCTGACTATTCTAGCCACTTGCATATTTTTTTGGGTTTTGGTTCATAGCCTGCAATCTAATAATATTTAAAAAGTCCCAACAATTTATGACACAACTTCTCCATTCAAGTATGGATAAAACCTGATATGCTGTGTGGAAAGACAAGCTAGATGAGATCTGATATAAGCCCGTTGCAAAGACAAGCTATATTATTGTTTCAGCTTTGATTCTGAGCATCCCGACCTCGTACTTTCTATTTATTGATCGATGTTAATATTTATTTATACTTCATTCCAGTATGATTTTGTTATGCAATATTTGTAGCCAAAATTTCTCCCTCAGTGTATCGATTGTGTTATAGAACACTGTATTTGTCAGGGAGGGCTATGGATAGTGAATTGTTGTCACGTGATTATCTTTTGTAACTACGGTGTTATTACAGTTTGTATAGTGCTTTGATCAAATCTAGTCATCCAAAATGTATTTTGGAAGACCTATTGCTCCTGTAAGCTCTCATAGGTAATGCCTTTTCCTGCGACTGTAATATTGGAGGGCATTGAGGGATTGCCGCATCATGTTCTGCTACCCAAACCCATTTTGGAATTTATCACGTTCAGCCACTCTGCCTTTTGGAGCAAGTTCTGATTCTAATGCTTTTCCTGCGACTGTAATATTGGAGGGAGTTCAAGGATTGCCGCATCATTCAAACCTGTGTTGGAATTTATCATGTTCAGCTGCTCTGCCTTTTGGAGCAAGTTCTGATTCTGGAGTTCACTTGTGCTGCCTTCTCACTATTTGACAGAGACAATGGAGTAGCGATACAGGATCGGAGGTAAATTGATGAAGTGAGGCCTTGACACACGAGCCTGACCTAGCTGAGCCTATGTATGTTTTCATGATTGTGTTTTAGCTCGTACTGCTCTTCGATTTTTGAATATCATCGATACTGATGGATAATGCTGCTCAATTGCAGGGATATAGGTATCAACCATTTCTCCTGCATGCCCGTGTTTTCATGCCATGACCTTGATTGTTATTGTACCAAGCTTTTCGAGGACTGCCTTGAATTCATGTCTTGCGGAATGTGCTTCATTTGTTCCTGAATGACATCACGGTCAATTCGAGAGAAGAGCTACCTCGAAGAAGTTTTACAGTAGTAATGGATGTTAAATGAATGAAAACAAGTGATTGGGTTGACAAGTATTATTTCCATCGACAAGCCTTTTTTCTGCTAGCAACGTCAATCAGCGCTGTTCTTTTCCCCTTAAATAGCTAAGCTTTATTGCACATGGAATGCTTTTTTATCCAGGAGATTGTCTCTAGCACTACATAAAGCGTGTGTTTTGTGTCTTTAAAGCGTTGTATGCATGCGAGGGTAACAGAATTCAGGTTCTTGCATTGTTTTATGATTCTGAGTGTCTTCATCCCACCTCTTCTTAGGTATCCAGATTGAAAAACTCGGTATTTTCTAAAGAGGTATGTTGATGTTTTCATTTCCTCAAATTGGATGGTATATCGAGGAGTAAAGACCAATATAAAGGTTAAAAACCCTAAGGAAATGGAGTGTTCGGAGGTCTTATGTGGAAGTGGGTTCAGGATGCAAAGAGCTTTTGATCTTTATCATCGAGGTAAAATCTACTTTTATTTGATTGTCAAGAGAAGTATATTCGCATGGTTTTTTTGCCTTGAATTTTTTGGCTAACAAGTCTAGATATTTAGTTTCATGTCTCAAATTTTATGGTGCTCAGCACTAGATTGACATGATCTTTTCGTGGCCTCCTATCTGCCAGGTGTATCTCGGAAGTAATTAATGGCAAGCTACTCGTTATTCTGAGCACCTAGAATTTTTAATAAAAATTAATATGTTGAGATCCAATAGCTCAAACTCGGCAAGAGCGTCCTAGCCCTAGTGCTAGCGAGATTGGTGGTTCAAATCCACCTGGATCTGTATTTATTTTTTTGGTTAATATTTCTGTGTGGTCAAACGTTTGAAAGCCTGTAAAATGTAAAATGCTCGTGGTTCTATCAAGATTTGATTGTTAAAGTTATTTTATTAAAAAAATTAAAAATATCATAAAAATTAAAAATATAAATTATTATATTATTTGTTATTTTTTAAGTATCTTTAATAATTTTCCTTTATTGTGACCATGATATATAGTAATAAAATATTAAATTTTTTAACTGTATTGACGCGTTGGCTGTAAACTCTTCCAAGGAAAGTTGTATTAATGAAGGAAAATTGAGGATCAGTGATTGAGATGGGATTTGAAAGCCTTTTTTGTTTTTTCAAGTAATTTTTATTATTTATCATCTTTGTAAATTATTTTTTATTTTTCAAAGAAAACTGGTAAAAGAAAGTCACTAGGTCTTACTTTTATTATACTTTTGATTGGAATTGCTTATGTTTTGTCCGGTGGTTGAGACATTTGTTTGGGAGTATGAGATATTTATTTGGAAGCTTAATTATGGATGTTTTATAAAAATATATTAAAATAATATGTTTTTATTTTTAAAAAATTATTTTTGATATTATCATTTTAAAATAATCTAAAAATATTAATTTAAAAAAATAATTTTTTTAAATATTTTTAAAAATAATTTTAAAATACAAAAACAATCAATTTTTTTTTTTGTTTTTTTGTTTTCTTATGTTTTTTTGCGCATATAAAGGGCCAATGCTTCATAAGCTAAAGGCGAAACTTTTTTTTTTTGTTTTTTTGCGCATATAAAAGGCCAATGCTTCATAAGCTAAAGGCGAAACAATATCTATGGTATTTACTCTCGGGGCTATAAAGAGAATTTTAGAGAATATTTAGGAATGTGATGTAAATTTTTAAAAGATCTAATTTTTTTTTATAAAAAATTAGTTTTTTTTGTTTTATGTTTTGAATGTTTTGATGTATTAATTTTAAAAATATTTTGTTTTTTTGTTTTATGTTTTGAATCGTTTTGATGTATTAATTTTAAAAATATTTTTTAAAAAAATAAAAAATTTATTTTAATGGATTTTAATATAAAATATTTTAAAAAATAATTATAATTATATTTTTAAAAACCCTTAAAAGGCTCTGAATCAAACAATATCAATGCTTTGGAGGGTCAAATAAACTCCAGAGATGGAAGTGAAATTTAAAACAGATGAAGATACGACGTCGAGGATTTTCCATAGAGTAAGAAGAAAGAGGCTGCTAAGATGGAGAAGTCGTCTTTTCCTTTGGTTCCTCGTTAGTTTAATTAAATGAATGAGAAGAAGGTTAAATATAGCTTTCTGTTTCGAGTTTGCGTTGTTAATGAGTTTAAGTTAAGTTTTTATAATCAAGAGGAAGGAAATCGTGCCTTGGCATTCGGTAAAGCTGAAATGAGGTCAGTTTGTTTAACCCTTTGTAGAATAAGAGACTGACTTGGTTATTGCTTCCTGTTTTATGGCAGCAGTCCATCCTTCACCTTTTCATGCAAAATCAGCGGCATCCCAGTTTGTTTAATAGCTGAAATGAGGTCAGTATGTAATCTTTTTCCAATCATTCATCAACAGAGACGAGAATCCCAATGAGATTTAGACTATTTTCTTTGTTTTGCAAGCTTACTAATGTTGGTTTCTCAATGGAGGCATGAGCTGTTCGAATAAGATATCTAGAAAATTTTGTTCCTAAACTAACTTGCCTCACTTTTTCATAAGCTGCTTGACTGTGTAAACTAGCCTCACTTTTTCATAAGCTGCTTGACTGTTTTGTTTTCCTTGCATCGATCATCAACACCACCACCTTACATTCTATGTCATCACCTCAGGTAGGTAAGGGTAAGGGTCTGGGTTTGAGTAAAAAATAAATAATCCAACCGAACCAAGAAATGATATTTCTTGAAAATATGACTGAATCAAACCAAAAACTAATTCAAATCAAATTGATTTGATCTAGTTTTTTGATATTAAAAACAGGAAAATCAAAAAGTGCTTGAAGTGTTGTTATTTTTAATCCTTGATCTGAAAATCAAACTATAATCTCTTGTTCAAACTTGGAAACATATGAAAAAAAATATTGTCCTGACATTCTCACTAAACCACAATAATATTCATGATATTTTCAAATTACATAGGAACAAAAGAAAATCAAGCAAAAACATTATGTGGTAGGCAAGTCAAAGAATCAGTCTAAAAAAAATCATGCAGAAGAACAGGAGATTAAGTCTAGACCTTTAAAAGGATTCTTTTGTGATCATATAATAACATCAGGTCTATATGGTTTTTTTTATTTTAGAAGATATTAAAATAATATATTTTTAATTTTAAAAAAATTATTTTTAAAATCGACACATCAGATAATTCAAAATATATATAAAAATATTTTTTAATAAAAAAATTAAAATATCTTTAAAACACAGGTTGGTTTGCATTTTCAATCCCTATAAGGAAGCCTAAGTCAATCATAATCTAATAAACACTAGAAATGATAGGCTATGGGTAAAGGAAGATTGAGAAAGGAGGGGAAGAAGTGTTGGGGAAAAATAGATTGGGTCTATCAAAAGGAGAAGGGAGAACGAGAGAGAGGAAAATATGCTAGGGCGGCTACTGTTAAAGGAAAAGAGAAAAATATGGTTTAGGGTTAGGTTATGTAAATTATTTATTCCCTCTTCTTCTTTTTTCTAGTTTAAATTTGATTTGAGTTAATTTGATTTAAATTTAATTTGAGTTAACTTGGTTTGGTCTAGTTCAATTGAATATTAAACCAAACAAAGTAATTTTTTTTTGTTTTTAAATCTGTTTCTTTGATTTTTTTTATTTGATTTTTTTAGTTTAATTAGTTGATAATTTTTTTAAACACACCTAACCTCAGGTAAAGTTTGGATAATTACTTTATGCACTTACATCGTTCTTTTCTTTTCATAGCGGAATAAGTCACATAATATAGAATTAGTGTTGTATAATACCTCTTTGTTTGTTCAGCTTATGCGAGATGTTCTTTACGATGCCCCACATTATATTAGCATGCTAACATTGGATATATGATGTCTTTTTTAATATAGAATTGAACCCATTATTTTATGAGGAATTTTTAGTTTCAAGATGTTGTTATATGATAGTGGATCTCATGTTACTTAAGTGGGCTGATTTTTAATCATGCCTATTTGATTGAACTACACTGTTGATTACATCATTCATCAACGACAAGTCTTCCCTCAATGCCTGATTTTTCAATTTCAATAGTTGTTTATATACTTGAGCTTTTTTTTCTCCCATAATAACAATCTTAGTTTGCCACATCAAACTCATCTTTGACAAGATCATCATTGAGATATGTGTGTAGCACTCTGAGTTCAATTGAAACAGAAAGAATAAATTTATCTAAAAGACGTAGTCTAAGATATGTTCGGTGTTCTATCATCTTTATTTTTGTGACTTTTAGTTTAAATCATGATCTAGAATTATTTTCTCTTTGAAATTTCATTGAATTTGAAAATTAGGTTTGTATTTGTTGTTTCTTTCATATTTGATTGAATCTGAACAAATAAAAAAAACTATTTTCTTAGTGGATTTGTTATCAATTGTGGTATGTTTAGTTTTGCTAGTTGCACTACTTGCTTTTAAATAAGTGTACTTTTGAACCCAATATGGTTTCAGGAAAGATTTCTGTTATGGTTGTTGCTAGCTGGTCTTGGAAGTTGGGGTTTTCCCTTTCTTTTTGGTTTGATGAATGATGAAAGCTGTCTCTTCTTTTACGTTCTTTCTTCATCATACTCTTTTTTTTTTTTTATCTCTTTTGCTTCAAACTTGATTCTTTATTAATTTAATTGTTGGTGTAATTGATATCAAATTTGTCAATAGAGCACAACAATCGATGACTATAACTTTGCTATTATTTGGCGTAAAGCATACAAATAAGAAACTAACCTTTCTGTTTTGACGTGTTAATTGAAGCCATGATTTCATTAAGGGATTGGGGAATTTGGTGAAAACTTAAAGGGCACACATTAAATTTTTTAGAGATTATTGAAAATGCTTTTAAAGAGAAGCAAGCTATGTGCCATTAAGTTTTTGTGAAAGTGGCACCATTTCTCTAAGCCTTATCATATTCCCATCCATTTCAAGGCTCCTCAAAGGATTCTCTCACATACCGTTAGAAGGTGAGCTTCTTCTTTAATAAATTTGAGTCTTTTTTTACTTGACTTTCTATTTTATTGTTCAGAAAGGAGTTTTATGTTTTTTTAGTTTGGTCTGGTTAGTTATAGAAAATGATATTTAGATTGTTACGAGGATAGTCCATGTTACAATTTGTGAAATGTTGTATTTTTAGAGATGTATTATTAACTTTAAAGATTATTGATCCATGACCAGTTAGCGTTGGTAAATTCTAAGCTTTAATGATTATGGGCCTGTTTTTTACTTCGTTAATTCTTGGCTGAGATGATTTCTTTTCAGGTTTCCTCCATGCTTTTTTTCTTTTAGAGTTCTTTGTTATCTCATTTGATTTTCTTATTTCCTGTGTAGGTTTTTTTGTAATCATACTAACAGGTTTATGATGTAGGCATTTTTAGTTATGACATTGTTGGGGCTAATCTTCTTAAGGAGAATAGGTGAGTTGTGATTGAAGAATTTGCTGGGGCTGATCTTCTTGAGGAGAATAGGTTAGTTGCGATTAAAGAATTTGCAGGGTCACTGAATTTGCCAAGTTTTTGTTGTGATGCTTGGGGGTAGATGCTTTTATTTTTCTCCTTATGTGATGCAGGAACTTTGTAGGTTTTGTTGCGTCTTTTTAATTTGCCTTTGTGACTCTAACTTTTGCTTAATGGCAAGGTTCACCTTCATTGTCTTTCTTCAACTTTAAGCGAATAGGTCAAATTGCATTTTCACTTCCCTACTTCTCCTTAAAAGATTTTTCATTTATGATTTGCTACTCGAGTGCCTCCAATTATAACTTTCTTTTTGCATGCATACTGTTTCTTCGTTTCTAGCCTCTGCTGTTAGGAGGTAGTTTTGTTTTCCCTGTTTACTTGCTCATTGCGATCTCAACTTTTTTGACTCATTTTTTTATAGTTTTACTCTCTTTTAGATATGTTTATGTCAACTCCATCTTTTTTTCTTTAAATTTATTCACATGTTTAAAGCACCTCTTTCCTATTTGTTACATCTATGTTTTCTAGAATTTGTTTGTTTCTACCTTTCCTTTATGGTTTCCCAAAATTTAACGCTCTGTGTGCCCACATAGAATGATTGTTGTGATCTTTTTATTTTTGGTTAATTATGTTTTTTTGCTATCCACTTCAGTTTAGCACAAACCAACATCCAGACTATTCATTTGTCATCAATCCTATCACCAAACATTTGAAGTTTTCCTCTCCAGGCTTTTCCTATTGTTTATGCTTATCTAAATAGCTAGCCTTTTTTTTTTTAAGTCCCAGAAGCTACTTGCTTTTGTTTTTCAGATGCTTATCTTTTCATTTCAGTAATTACAAAAAGAAAGGATCAGAACCTTTGTTTTTTTTTTTTTTTGCTAAAGTTTCAGAGGATATTTTACCTTGACAGGGCTTGAGATTCTTAGAGATGTAAGAGAATCAATTCAAAAGACTACAAGCTAAGGATCTGCTGAACTTATTTAAAAAATGCTGAAAAAGACCTCGAGTGATACACTGATGCTATTTTTTTTAATGTTCCAAATTAGTATAACAAAGCTTTTTCGTACCGCTTGTACTGTACTCTTTTGCTTTGCTTTTGCCTGCTAATTTGATTACTAGGTTAGTTTTCAATTTTTGTAGCAGAAATATATTTTAAGGTATGTAAAAGAAGAATAATTCTGACTAAATTAGTGCAATATATTTATGTAACCTTCTCTTTGGAAAATATCATTTTCCACCAAAGAAGAGAAAATTGTGCTTTATATCTTTGCTTGCTCAAAACTCTTTTCATTCCCCCTCTTAATTAGCTACCTGTGATGGCTTTGACAAGCAAAATTTATTTCTTTTTAGTGTGTTTTTGTTATATTTGTAGCCTAATTTGATTAAATGTATACATTTTCCTTTTGAGTTCAGGGATTAATACATCAGTTATGTTTTCTTGGTCATTGTTTTATAGAAGTATTACACTTAACCAGAAGTAAGCACTTAAGTATTTGTTGTTTCTTTCATATTTGATTCAATTTGAAGAAAAAAAATTATTTTCTCATATGGGAAATAACAATGAATATATAACTGCTTTGAATAGTGCTTTGTCAACATTCATGTATGTAATTTTTTTTACAATCATTCATTATCGGAGATGAGAATCCTAATGAAATTAAGAATTCTTTCTTAGTTTTGCTAACTTAATAATGTTAATTTCTCATCGCAAGCATGAGCTGTTCAAATAAAATACCTGGAAAATTTTGTTCGTAAAATAATTTGCCTTACTTGGCAGTGAATCTCCTATTACTTGAGTGGGTAGATTTTTAAGCATGCCTGTTTGATTGAATTACTCTGTTGATTACATCGTTTATTAACGGTAAGCCTTCCCTCACTACTTGATTTTCCAATTTCAATTGTGGGTTATACTCTTGAGTTGTTTTTTTTTTCCCACCACAACAATCTTAGTTTACCACATCGAGCTCATCGTTGATAAGAGCATCTTTGGGATGTATGTGCAGCAGTCAAAGTTCAATCCAAATAGAAAGAAAACATTTATCTCAAAGATTTGGTCTAACATATGTTCAGTTTTCATTCATCTCTATCTCTGACTCTTATAGTTTAATTAGTGCTCTAGTATAGTTTTCTCCTAGAAATTTCATTGAATTTAAAAATTAGGTTTGTATTTGTTGTTTCTTTCATATTTGATTCAATCTAGACATAAAAAAAACTGTTTTCTTTCCTAAGATTTGCTAGGAACTTGCTTGCAAGTCTTTCTCTTTGAATTTGTTAATGAGTGTTTATTTGCTAATGTTTTCTCGTTTTGGGTTTGTTATTCAGGCTTTGCTTGATTATTGAATTTTGATATTTTTATTGTTTTTATGTTGTGCTTTTCTTCATTGCATTGATACATTTTCTTCCTAGTAATATCTATCATATTTTTTATTCTATATCTCTATTCATTTCTTGTTTTATTTCACTAACTTTCTTTTCAATTACGCTCTGCTTGGTTGTTCAGATTAGTATATATTTCTTTTGTGCTTATGTATCTTTTTTTTTATTGTGCATTGGTCCTTCTATCTTTGGCACTTTGTAGGTTTTGTTACGCCTTTTTAGCTTGCCTTTACACCTAACTTTCGCTTAGTAGCGAGGTTAACCTTCATTGTTTTCCTTCAGCTTTAAGCAAATATGTCAGATTGCATTCATGATTTTATTTTTTATTTTTAATCCATACAAGCTACTTGCTTTTGTTTTTCACATGCTTATCTTTTCATTTCAATAATTACAGAAAGAAAAGACGAGGACCTTTTTTTTTTATATAAAGATTCAGGGGGTATTTAACCTTAAGAAGTTCTTTACGATGCCTATTATATTAGCATGTTAACATTGAATATGTGATGTTTTTTAATATAGGATTGAATCCATGATTTTATGAGGAATTCTTAATTTCAAATATGTAGTTGGATGGTAGTGGATCTTCTGTTACTTGCATAGGCTGATTTTTAAGCATTCTTTGATTTTGTTTTTATGACCTTTCAGATTCGTTTTTCTTGCTTTGATTATTTACTCTCTTTACCATGCCTTTTCAGCCTATTTAGCTTCTCTTTTCTAGTGCCTTTGCTTTGATATTTTTTTTTATCACATCTTGTTTTTTTCCTCCAACAACTTTTAACGGCTTCTTTCTTTGCAGCTGCAACAAAATTCTCTCCATACAATCCAGTTTCTCTATTTGTTTTGCTAAGCCCCTTTCCTTTTTCCTCTTCCATATCTTTTTATGTCGTGTTTAGTTAGACACTTGTGATTTACATGTTGGAAAATAATTGCTTAAATGGTATTGTAGCTATCTTAAAGTGATCTGATTAAAGTTCATATTGTTGGGCTATAGACATCTAATAATTTATGAGTTTATTATGTGTAGACCTAATCTTATATTTCTGATTTATCACGTCTTGTTTTTTTCCTCCAACAACTTTTAGCAGCTTCTTTCTTTGCAACTGCAACAAAATTCTCTCCATACGATCCAGTTTCTCTATTTGTTTTGCTAAGCCTCTTTCCTTTTTCCTCTTCCATATCTTTTTATGTCGTGTTTAGTTAGACACTTGTGATTTACATGTTGGAAAATAATTGCTTAAATGGTATTGTAGCTATCTTAAAGTGATCTGATTAAAGTTTATATTGTTGGGCTATAGACATCTAATAATTTATGAGTTTATTATGTGTAGACCTAATCTTATATTTCTGATTTATAATGGGATAAAATAGAAATATGAAAATACTTAATGCAATACTTATTAGGGTTATGGTCCCCGATTTACACTCATGACTAAGTAGAGTATCCAGGTTAGCTTGTGGATATCTTAACTAATTTCATGGGTCATGAAGTTAATGATAATGTAAGTTTCTAGTGGTCCTAAGATTTGTAAAACTCGAATTAATGATCTCTAATGAGCAAAATATATATATTTGGATTCTTTTTTTTTTAAAATGTGGATTTCTAGGTTAACTTATATACATAGAGACTAATTTCATGGGATTTGAAGTTAACGATCATATAAATTTCTAGTTGTTATTATATTAATAACTACAAAACTTAAACCTAAAATCATAAGAAAAATAAATCTCTTGGTTTCAAACTCATATCCAAACATGGGATTTGATACTCATGCGATTTCAACGATCTCACTTGTAAGAGTCTCGTCTTTCCTTGGTGGAACTTTTGTCCGTAAGAGCAGTGGGTTGTTCAATACTTGGCACAAGGTCTAGATCCATACAACCGAGAACAATCATTGCATTCTCTTTCAAATCCCTGGAGATGGTTTCATTTAGCATAGGAATGGAATTAATGTTGGCAGATATGGTGGAAGCAGACGCATTAGCTGAACAACGAACAAAAAACATATTAAGAAGAACAATGTCAAGCTTTTTAATGACAGAAGAGAAGAAATTAACTTGGCATAATTCGGCATCCAGTTTCCACCCATCTATTCCTAACAGTGAACTTGACTTTAATTGCAAACATCTCCATTTAACTGCAACTGTGAAACTGGTCCCCGCATTTTTGCAAGTGCTCAAAGTCAGCTTAGAATCTCTTTAGCTTTACAACATCAACATCTCCAGCTCCAACCATTAACAACTAAGTCCTCCGAGCACCACAGCTCCTTCATTCAGCATATCACTGCCTGCTTGCTTTTTGTTAACTGAAAAAATGCTTGCTTGCTATGAACAACCCAAAATAACACTCTTTCAGGTGGATTCTGGAACTGTAATCAAAGCATTTCTATAGAACTAACGCTTCGCTTTCCATTTCATTGATTTCACATCTGATCTTCGCCACTTTCTTTCCCTTACAATTCCTTTGCGAAAACGAACTCGGTCAACGAGTGAAAAGACCGCTCGCGGCACCATACAAGCGTGCATCTTCCCTAGTGCTATATTATTGTACGTTATCTTCCCCGATATCCTCGTGTTAATAAAATCCTTTAAAAAAGCAGTAAATTCTCTAATAATAAAGGCTTATCTCCTTTTGCTTAATTCTCATTAGAAAAAGGATCGACTTTCTTACCGACGTCTTCTCGGCCCTTTCATCAATTGCTCATTCATTCCCCCCCAGCTCCCCACCATATCTTTTCTTGATTTCCTCTTCCTTTTTTAGTGGGTATTAAGATTTTCGATATACAAAGTGATCATTTAATTTGCGCTCAAAATTCATACTTTATTAGAATATGTTGTCATTGAAATACACTCTTTTAGTTTTTAATTGTGACGTGCAAAAAACTCTCATGTTGGACCATCCTGCTCTCATTCTTAAATAATTATGTAAGAAACAACCAAGTTATATATAGGGAATGGATCTCCAGTGTAATAGGAATGGAAAGAGAATCCGGGAAGACAGAGAGAGTGCTCGTGTGGTCTCTTAATGGCGATTCCACACCATTACTAGACTCTCTAGAGTACACGTGCGTGACTAAAGTAAGAACTGGAAATTAAGGGTATCCAATGCTTCTTTTCTCGTCGCATCACTCGTGCACTGACAGAGCAAAGCAAGCTGTTAAATGCTAGTGAGGGAGTGAGTGAGTGAGTGAGTCAGTGATGCCATTTGCATTAGCCTGGGCTAGGCTATAATTTATTAATTATTTCCATTTATTTATTTAGATATTGTGTATACAAGTATAATCATTAGTTATAAAATCACAGCCACTCGATTACTATCTAAATAATTTCCTAAAATCATGTTGTTTGGTTGAAAGAATCAAAGATTCTTTAACCAGACCATGACAGGCCAAACCTCAATTTTATAACTACTCCATAATGTTTTGTCAAGAAAATCAAGATTATTTTATCAATCTGGGCAAAACTATGAATAATGAATCACCGGCTTGATCTTGAGTTTGTGTGAGAATATAATATAAATTGTTTTTTTTATAATAATTTTAACTTGAAAACTATGTTAAAATAATACTAAAATTATTAATTATAATTTTTTAAAGACATAATTCAACCACAGTATCAAACCATCCCTTACCGGACTAAGAGGACAGGATTGTTATAAAAGCGGGTACGACTAGTCTGCTGCCTCTGCCTGCCTCCCCTTAAGCAATTTATAGTTTTCACCCTAAAAACTAGTAGAATTTAAATTTTGACCATCTAGAAAAACTTTTCTAGTTTGCCCCCCTGGCTAATTTTACTGGCTCCGCCCCCGACAGTAACAAGTGTTTCGAAAACATAAACCGGTGAAGGGGATGTGGCCGTACGGCTTGCATCTCCAAGAATAAAATATCTCAACTCCTTACAAGCAAGGCAACCGAACGTGTCCTGTCTTAAAGGAAGGTTACTCTGGTCCTGCTGCTTTTGTCTTTATACAGGTAAACTCATGACTTTTCTGTGGAGAAGATATAAAGACACCCTTCCAGGAAAGCACATTGCCCTCTCTCTCCTCCTCTGTTTCTGCAGCAGTGGTTTATAGCCCCAGTGGTGAGCTGATAGTCGTGATAATCTCCCCTTCACTTGATACGTTATCAGTTCAACTTTGAAGTAGGTCACTCTCTTGCCTTGTTGTTTCCTTTCAAGGGTTTCTTTTTTCTTCCTGCTTTCGTTTGCTGTTAGTGACTCTTGGTTTATGATGAAGTTAAGCATGTGGCTTGCTTGATTTATCTATCTTTCTGTTGATTTTGCTTTCTAAGTCTCTATTTGGAACCAAAAATAGGAAATGCAATGGAACATGTCAAAATTGACTGATGCAATGGACTTGGCTTTTGATTCTCTCTTCCTATATGTTCTTTGCTAGAAGAAGGCCAAAAGGGAAATCTTAATTTGTCATTCAATGCTGATTCCTGTTATTAGTTGCGTGATTAAAGGAGTCAAGTTGGAGTGGGTGGTGGTTGAGTCATGCCTTGTTTTTTTGGTATGATACACAGTTTGCGTGATGGCCTCTATTTATGCTTTCATTGCTCTTTGATGAAACTTTTATGGGTGTGAATATGACCATGAGGACAAGTGTTCCAGCCATCATGGATCGATCCCTGGCCTACCTTGTTATCTTTGATTACTTACTCCCTAGCCTTGATTGCAGAATGAGGCCTTGGATCTTGCAATTTCAGTTGCATACATGCTTACACTATCATTCTCCTTTTTCTCTTCTTTTTTCCTGACTGTGGCTGATTGGCCAAGTAAAAAATATTAATGTTGACCCAGTTTCCGGTTTACTTTGGTTTATCTCCTATCCTTAAGATCTTCCCTCTTTAATTTCCATTGATTGCATCTGGTCCGATCCTTTAAAGGGTAGTTGGATCGATGCTACTTTGCAGCTAATTCTTTCTTAATGAGATGTTATTTAAGGTTTGCTCGGCTATTTATTCATTACAGGTTGAACACAGCTGCAGAATATATTGATACTTGTCACCATGTTTCTCTGGCGGAATAATACCAGCCATGATCAAGAAAATGATTCACTGCAGCATGAATCTAAGGTAACAAGTCGGGGAGGTCTTTGACTTGCATTAAACACCAAACCTCTTTTAATAAACTAGCTAGTATAGTTAATCTGGTACTGAGTACGGTCTTGTAATTCTACTCTAGATCAATGAGCTCAAGGCTACTATTGGACCGCTATCTGGACACAGTTTACAATATTGCAGTGACGCATGCTTTAGAAGATATCTGGATGCTAGGAACTGGAATGTAGACAAAGCAAAAAAAATGCTGGAAGAAACGATTAAATGGAGATCGACATTTAAACCTGAAGAGATTTGCTGGGTAAGTTGGCTTAATTCATGTTAATCTTGATAAAAAGCATGGCAACACTCCCCCCTACTGGCTCAGTGTGTTTACCCCGGATGGTTTCATTTAGCATAGGAATGGAATTAATGTTGGCAGATATGGTGGAAGCAGACGCATTAGCTGAACAACGAACAAAAAACATATTAAGAAGAACAATGTCAAGCTTTTTAATGACAGAAGAGAAGAAATTAACTTGGCATAATTCGGCATCCAGTTTCCACCCATCTATTCCTAACAGTGAACTTGACTTTAATTGCAAACATCTCCATTTAACTGCAACTGTGAAACTGGTCCCCGCATTTTTGCAAGTGCTCAAAGTCAGCTTAGAATCTCTTTAGCTTTACAACATCAACATCTCCAGCTCCAACCATTAACAACTAAGTCCTCCGAGCACCACAGCTCCTTCATTCAGCATATCACTGCCTGCTTGCTTTTTGTTAACTGAAAAAATGCTTGCTTGCTATGAACAACCCAAAATAACACTCTTTCAGGTGGATTCTGGAACTGTAATCAAAGCATTTCTATAGAACTAACGCTTCGCTTTCCATTTCATTGATTTCACATCTGATCTTCGCCACTTTCTTTCCCTTACAATTCCTTTGCGAAAACGAACTCGGTCAACGAGTGAAAAGACCGCTCGCGGCACCATACAAGCGTGCATCTTCCCTAGTGCTATATTATTGTACGTTATCTTCCCCGATATCCTCGTGTTAATAAAATCCTTTTAAAAAGCAGTAAATTCTCTAATAATAAAGGCTTATCTCCTTTTGCTTAATTCTCATTAGAAAAAGGATCGACTTTCTTACCGACGTCTTCTCGGCCCTTTCATCAATTGCTCATTCATTCCCCCCCAGCTCCCCACCATATCTTTTCTTGATTTCCTCTTCCTTTTTTAGTGGGTATTAAGATTTTCGATATACAAAGTGATCATTTAATTTGCGCTCAAAATTCATACTTTATTAGAATATGTTGTCATTGAAATACACTCTTTTAGTTTTTAATTGTGACGTGCAAAAAACTCTCATGTTGGACCATCCTGCTCTCATTCTTAAATAATTATGTAAGAAACAACCAAGGTAAGCTTGATTTTAGTAATGTGCATGTATGAGGAGACTATATGCTAACAAAAGAATATTGTTATTTATCATTAGGTACTGTCAAGGGTTCTGTCTAATACTTTTTAATATAAAAGGTTGTCAATATCCCATCTTAGGCTTCTTTTTTTTTATGTTGATCTATTGATTTTTATGTTGAAATTATCATCTTTTATTAATAAGAAACAAGAAAAGAATAATTAAATAAAAGCTTCCTTCCTTCTACCTTCCTCATTTGTTCTTCTTCGTTCGTATTTTCTTTTCTTTCTTGATAGTTTTGTTTTGAAAGAATAAAATTAAAAAACTTTTAGGCCAGTTTAATAAAAACCTAATTTATATTAATTTTAGGTTAATCATTTACGTGTTTGATTTTATATTAATATTTATATCAATATTTTTACAAATATTTTGTTTATGTTTCTCCCAAGTATGTAAGATAGTAAAGCGGTTTGGTCCTCTCGTGTTTGATCTTAGATTAATGTTTATAAATGTTCTGTTTATGTTTCTTCCTTGTCAGAGTTTTAGCCATTTTGAATAATGGGTTGACACTTGTATTTAGATAAATTGATGAAATCTGGTAGAGCAACTCGTTCCCTCGTTGATTTATGAAGACTTAATCTCATATAACATTAATTTATGTGTATATTAATTAATTTTATTAGTTTTGGAGTTAATAATTATATAAATTTTTAATAATTTTAAAATTTGTGAGATTCAAACTTATAATTTTTAAAAAATAAATTTAAAATCAAATTAATTCAACTGTAATTATAGTATTACATTTGTGTTTTTATTTCTTGCCGTTCTCGCCTTGGAAATTATTCTCTCTATCCTTGTCTACTTATGATAATATCCGTGGCTGAACTCGCTCTCTCTCTCTCTCTCTCTCTCTCTCCCTCCCTCCCTCCCTCCCTCTCCCTCTCTGTGCCTCACATTTATGGTAGAGCCGGTTAACATGGGGCGGGGATAGAATAATGAGACAGAAATAAAAACAACCGAGTCGCTGGAGCATGCATGAATTGACTTTTCAAGAGATGGTGCGTGCCAAGTTTTGTTGACTTTTCGTGGAGGGCGTGAGTCACCTGTTTTAGCTTTATTGATAAAGTGTAGAAGGGGCCGGTTGCATCAAGCTAGCATATTCTTACACGGTGAATATCATTGTTAAATAATATGTTATTTTAGGACAACATGTTTTCTTAAATAATTATGTAAGAAACAACCAAGTTATATATAGGGAATGGATCTCCAGTGTAATAGGAATGGAAAGAGAATCCGGGAAGACAGAGAGAGTGCTCGTGTGGTCTCTTAATGGCGATTCCACACCATTACTAGACTCTCTAGAGTACACGTGCGTGACTAAAGTAAGAACTGGAAATTAAGGGTATCCAATGCTTCTTTTCTCGTCGCATCACTCGTGCACTGACAGAGCAAAGCAAGCTGTTAAATGCTAGTGAGGGAGTGAGTGAGTGAGTGAGTGATGCCATTTGCATTAGCCTGGGCTAGGCTATAATTTATTAATTATTTCCATTTAGATGCCATTTGCATTAGCCTGGGCAAGGCTATAATTTATTAATTATTTCCATTTATTTATTTAGATATTGTGTATACAAGTATAATCATTAGTTATAAAATCACAGCCACTCGATTACTATCTAAATAATTTCCTAAAATCATGTTGTTTGGTTGAAAGAATCAAAGATTCTTTAACCAGACCATGACAGGCCAAACCTCAATTTTATAACTACTCCATAATGTTTTGTCAAGAAAATCAAGATTATTTTATCAATCTGGGCAAAACTATGAATAATGAATCACCGGCTTGATCTTGAGTTTGTGTGAGAATATAATATAAATTGTTTTTTTTATAATAATTTTAACTTGAAAACTATGTTAAAATAATACTAAAATTATTAATTATAATTTTTTAAAGACATAATTCAACCACAGTATCAAACCATCCCTTACCGGACTAAGAGGACAGGATTGTTATAAAAGCGGGTACGACTAGTCTGCTGCCTCTGCCTGCCTCCCCTTAAGCAATTTATAGTTTTCACCCTAAAAACTAGTAGAATTTAAATTTTGACCATCTAGAAAAACTTTTCTAGTTTGCCCCCCTGGCTAATTTTACTGGCTCCGCCCCCGACAGTAACAAGTGTTTCGAAAACATAAACCGGTGAAGGGGATGTGGCCGTACGGCTTGCATCTCCAAGAATAAAATATCTCAACTCCTTACAAGCAAGGCAACCGAACGTGTCCTGTCTTAAAGGAAGGTTACTCTGGTCCTGCTGCTTTTGTCTTTATACAGGTAAACTCATGACTTTTCTGTGGAGAAGATATAAAGACACCCTTCCAGGAAAGCACATTGCCCTCTCTCTCCTCCTCTGTTTCTGCAGCAGTGGTTTATAGCCCCAGTGGTGAGCTGATAGTCGTGATAATCTCCCCTTCACTTGATACGTTATCAGTTCAACTTTGAAGTAGGTCACTCTCTTGCCTTGTTGTTTCCTTTCAAGGGTTTCTTTTTTCTTCCTGCTTTCGTTTGCTGTTAGTGACTCTTGGTTTATGATGAAGTTAAGCATGTGGCTTGCTTGATTTATCTATCTTTCTGTTGATTTTGCTTTCTAAGTCTCTATTTGGAACCAAAAATAGGAAATGCAATGGAACATGTCAAAATTGACTGATGCAATGGACTTGGCTTTTGATTCTCTCTTCCTATATGTTCTTTGCTAGAAGAAGGCCAAAAGGGAAATCTTAATTTGTCATTCAATGCTGATTCCTGTTATTAGTTGCGTGATTAAAGGAGTCAAGTTGGAGTGGGTGGTGGTTGAGTCATGCCTTGTTTTTTTGGTATGATACACAGTTTGCGTGATGGCCTCTATTTATGCTTTCATTGCTCTTTGATGAAACTTTTATGGGTGTGAATATGACCATGAGGACAAGTGTTCCAGCCATCATGGATCGATCCCTGGCCTACCTTGTTACCTTTGATTACTTACTCCCTAGCCTTGATTGCAGAATGAGGCCTTGGATCTTGCAATTTCAGTTGCATACATGCTTACACTATCATTCTCCTTTTTCTCTTCTTTTTTCCTGACTGTGGCTGATTGGCCAAGTAAAAAATATTAATGTTGACCCAGTTTCCGGTTTACTTTGGTTTATCTCCTATCCTTAAGATCTTCCCTCTTTAATTTCCATTGATTGCATCTGGTCCGATCCTTTAAAGGGTAGTTGGATCGATGCTACTTTGCAGCTAATTCTTTCTTAATGAGATGTTATTTAAGGTTTGCTCGGCTATTTATTCATTACAGGTTGAACACAGCTGCAGAATATATTGATACTTGTCACCATGTTTCTCTGGCGGAATAATACCAGCCATGATCAAGAAAATGATTCACTGCAGCATGAATCTAAGGTAACAAGTCGGGGAGGTCTTTGACTTGCATTAAACACCAAACCTCTTTTAATAAACTAGCTAGTATAGTTAATCTGGTACTGAGTACGGTCTTGTAATTCTACTCTAGATCAATGAGCTCAAGGCTACTATTGGACCGCTATCTGGACACAGTTTACAATATTGCAGTGACGCATGCTTTAGAAGATATCTGGATGCTAGGAACTGGAATGTAGACAAAGCAAAAAAAATGCTGGAAGAAACGATTAAATGGAGATCGACATTTAAACCTGAAGAGATTTGCTGGGTAAGTTGGCTTAATTCATGTTAATCTTGATAAAAAGCATGGCAACACTCCCCCCTACTGGCTCAGTGTGTTTACCCCGGATACCATTTGAACCAGAGCTGAACCATTGAAATTACCCGCTCTTCTGATCATTGGTTTTATTGTCAGCATGAAGTTGCTGTTGAAGGTGAGACTGGAAAAATATACAGAGCGAATTTTCATGACCGACAAGGAAGGACAGTTCTTATTTTAAGACCAGGAATGCAGGTATCATGGGCTATTCTTTTTTTTTTATTCTCCCTTGGATGGGGGATCTGGATGATTCATACTGCAATTCCTTGTATTTCCAAATCGGAAACTAACACCATAGCAACTGCTGCAGAATACAAAGTCAATAGACAATCAGATGCGGCATCTGACATATCTCATCGAGAATGCTATCCTCAACCTACCAGAGGGTCAAGAACAAATGGCGTGGTTGATAGATTTCACTGGGTTGTCTATAAACAACACTCCACCTATAAAATCAGCTCGTGATACTGTTAATATACTGCAAAACCACTACCCTGAGAGGCTAGCCGTGGCATTTCTTTACAATCCTCCACGAATTTTTGAAGCATTCTGGAAGGTATGTATTCTAACTCCTTTCAACTGTTTTGTTTTCTTGAATGAGTTTTGGAACGCAAACTTATTAAACTTGCAAATAATTTGTCCCCATGGACCAACCTGCCGAGGCCATGCAGGCATGGAATAAATTGCGTATGAAGATTAGCAGCGTTTATTTGCTACTTCTGGTCCTCTAGGTTGTTGTAGTCAAAGAATCAAACATGAAGATTCAGCAACGACAAGCTAGAATGCTTTGCATGCTTCTTTATTGTTCTAATACGTTCTGTAGTATAATGCAGTAGTTCCTTATGCTCCTTTTGTGTTTTGTCCAGGTCTAATTGTATTTAGGACACAATTAGATAGATTCGAGTAGGATCGACTAACATCTCATGGTCCAATACATGCAGATTGTCAAGTATTTCTTGGATGCCAAAACATTCCAGAAGGTAAAATTTGTGTACCCCAAGGATAATGACAGTGTCGAACTCATGAGGTCATATTTCGACGATGAAAATCTTCCAACCGAGTTTGGAGGAAGGGCCATATTGAAGTATGACCATGAAGTGTTCTCAAAATTAATGACTGAAGATGATGCGAAGGCCGCTTCATTTTGGGGATTTGACAAGAAGCTTCAACAAGCAATAAATGGGCATCATGGAGCCGATGGGGCTCCATCACCGGTCAGCTAGGCCGCCAATCTCAGTGTATTATCGTAATAAAGTATAGACCATATGTAGTCTGTACACCTGAAAGGGAGCTGTGGTATTGGATGAGATGCTCATCTTAATTTCACTAGCGAAAACTGCCAAGATAGGATAATAGCGGAAGCAGCTTGCTTTTTACTACTCATGGGAACGTTTAAGTTTCCACCCCATGTACTGTTGTACTGTATTAATGCTCATTGCAACTCAGATTCTCATGAATTCAGCAAAATTTAATATATCTATCCGCGACACACGAACCCACCACCCCCACACACACACACACTTACACGTTTAAGGAGCCAGATCCACAACGAATTCATCTGAAATTTGCTAAAATCGTAATGGGAGGTCATTAGGTGGAGTGAAGCTTCATGGGAGGAATGCAAGAACAAAAGAAGGCCAATCTGCTGTTAAGCTATAATTTTAACTACGAATCCGCTGCGTTCCTTTAGCCAAGTTGACTTCTCAAAAACAGATTTTATTAACATAGAAATACAAGCCATACAATCTTACACGTATATTACCGTACATCAATGTGATCGACTGTCATCCCTTCCCCTTTGCAGGAACTAATTATCTGTTATACCCTCCAAACAATACCAGACACATCAGAGTGGGAAACGACTGTTAGCTACTCACACAAGTCACACAGTCAAAATCTTGCAGTCAAAAGAGCCATCTTATGAACATGATCAAGTTAGCAGCATTTGGATGTTGAGGGAATGAGGGATAGCAACTCAGAGAAAATGAATCACACAAGCCGTCTTTTGAAGTTATGCGTTGTTGCTTTGTAAGTGCGAACCAGCAAACCAACTCCTACACCGATCCCAAGACAAATGCCAAGCCCAAGCCCCACACCAACCCTGACACCAGCATTAAACCATGAAAGATCACCATCTTCACCTTCCATGTATTCATTTCTCCTCCAGTACATGTTACTGTAATCTTCTTCATTTTCTAATTTGTAACTTCTGTAGTCAACTACCTGCAAATGAAGAATGGAAAAGTGATGAGTGAGGTAAATACCACATCATACTTGGGAAAAACATCCAGAAAGCTAGTAGGTTTAAAGATTAAAAGATGAGATGAACTAAATAAGTTCATGTTTGACAAGATGGGCAGAGCTTCACCTCAAATACAGAAATAAGTTTAGAATGCATTCCCTGGTGAACCATCAAATTCAGCAATAAGAATTCACATGATCAATCCTTTGGCGTCAGATTTCACATTTTTCTATGAGATTCTATGCCGTGTAGACTAGGCTCACTTAAACTAAAAATAATAGGTCTATTTCCAAGAAGAAGAAGAAGAAGAAAACATTGTAATCATTTCTTGGGATCATGGTATGGTGGGGCTCTCACCAACCTTCAATACCCCCATCCCAAAAGAATCCTCAAAAAGGCACACATGAATACAATCCTTGCATAAGTCTTGACTGAATGATAAAACAAGGCTTTAATTATTTATAGTAAAACAATCACAGAACAATTAGTGGGATCAAATTCAGCTAGTAACAAATCGGTAATGACACCAAGCCTTCGCAGAATAGCAGCAGATTCCCTGTATCATTTAAACTTTTTGAAATACCTGTAGCAAGTGCATGATAATGTGTTCAAAGAAACATTAATGGGAACTTCAGGACACGCTCCTAAAGTTATAGAGCACAAAATCCTTTCGTTAATTTTTTATGTGCTTTAAGGAGACAAGTGTGCCAGGATATGCAAGAGATAATATCGTCATTTTTTTAGGCCAAAGTTCATTACCCTCCCTGGCCCCGCGGAGAGATGCCAAATTTATATGAAAATGAAAATGAAAATCAACTTTACATGAACTCTTCCAGGTATCCCTTTCTCTAGTAGCTCCAGATGCATATAATTAACACATCATAAAAAAAATTAAAGAAAAGGAAAGTAACGAGTTATCTAGAATGCATTGCTACGCCATGCAATGTAACAGCTCAAGTTGATTGAAGGAAACAAAAAATGGTCCCAGATAACAAGAAGATTGTCAGACATGAGAGCTTGCACATTGAAAAGAATGGCAACTGAGACAACTTTGTGCTGCCTAGTATCACATGCACAATCCTTATCATGTGTTGAAGTTGAAATTTCGTGTTTAGGATTTAATTGCAATCCAAAGTAAAAATGTTCTCATCACCACAAAGATTCAACTAGCTTGCTGCAAGTAGCTTTTGAACCCAGATTGCAGTGAACCCTATTAAGTAATAACAACCCACCATGTAGTTCAGTTACAGAAAGAGAAAGGGCAAACAGCGAAATTCCCAGAAATGGCCCAAGGGTAGGTAGCCCCACATGTGGGCACCGACATCCATGCGGCTTCAGCATGAGTCCATGCACATCAGGATTTCAGAGGAAGGATATTGAAAACAATGCAACCAAAAAAGAGGAACAATGAGCACTATCTCATCGCTTGGAAAGTGTGCCCTGCCCATACCTATGCCACATCTAGGATAAGATACAGCTTCCTAGTCCAAAACATCGAGAATGGGACCTTTACAACAACCAAAAACATGTTTCAAGATAGGAAGCACATCTGGGGCCATACCAAAAAGGGAATTCAACACAAAATTCTCTCCATTTCTTAAGTTTTGAATCACATGATTCATATTAAATTAAAAAATAACTAACCAAACTGCAAAGAATATGCTCCTTCAAACATGAAAATATACTAATGCACTGCCTGAGTGCAATATAAAAAATCATACAAGCACGTGTATATTCCATCAAATTGAAATTTAAAAATCAAAATATGTCCTTACCTGCAAATCATGGTCTGGTGATGCATTTTTTGTGGATTCAGCTGTCTCATACTCAGGAATTGAGTCCAACATGCCCTTCCTTTTATGCTTCTTGCGGTAAGTGAGTTGCAAAGTCTTGGTTAATATGATAGGTGTCCCTGAAAAGGAACCTGTAACATAAACCTCAATGGTTGGTAGTGGTAACTCCGGACCACCATTGTATTTTCCTTTTAAGAAGCCAGTGCCAATGGTTATATGGGAGTCACAGTTCATCCTCCACCGTTTTACACTGCTTTTTGATTCCCCAGTGAAACCATTACTACTGGACATTTCCAAGACCCCGGATAGAACAAGATCATTTCCATCAAATACCTCAAATTCCACACTCCCAGTACTTCGAATACTGTCTGTGCTAACAAATGTAGCTTCTTCTGATTTTCTATCCACTCGATCTCTCCTAAGAAGCGAAGCAACACCATCAGAATACATACTAGTTCGAGAACCATTAATTTCCAAAAGAGTATCAGGACTTAGAGGAATATGGTTGAGAGTGAGAAACTGCGGGGTCGAATCATCGACCTGAAAATTACTGATCCTGACATAAAAGACTCTCAGATCAAACCAAGGTGATACGACTTTGGTGCAGGGTTTGAATGGTGAGTATCTAATGATTTGAAGATTGGATTTTGCTGCTCCCCCATTGCTGGATGCTTCATAAGGACCCTCCATGATTGATGATCCAGAAGCTTAATCCTCACTCACCGAAACCTTCCAATTTGGATTGGATTGGGCTGGTAACATCTAGAGAAGAGCCATACAAGTTTAAATCAAATATCCAGATAAGACCTGTTCAAAAATCAAACAGAGATTTACTATTTATTTAGATTAAAAAAAACAGCAAATCATCTGAAGAAAGAAAAACTTGGTACACAAAAAGTAAAACCCAGAAACCCAAAATAGTCAAGACTCGTATCCATGCAAATAGAATAGAAGAGAGAGACCTAATATTCAGGAAACTGAAACCCAAGAAATAAGGAAAACAGAGTAGAAAAAATCATAACTGGCACAAACAAGCATATATTCCACACACAACTGTTCTCCTTTTGACTCTCTGATCATCTTCCTTCAATAAAATGTATATTCCGATACCAAAAATTAAAGGGACAAAAAAAAAATCAGACATCAAAAATTTGTTCTAAGCAGAAAGAAATGCCCACCAGCAGAACAGAAGGAATTCACTCCAAAGTAAACAAAAAAAGGAACTTCTATTATCTTCCCAATTCCAAATCAAGCAGCAGCAACTATCATCTTCCAAGAAGAAAAAATAAATTTCCAAAATAAAAGGAAGGAAGATAATTATGCATACCCAACAAAACAGGACTATGCAGCCGGCTTTTAGTAGCTAACCAGTTGGCATGCCCGCGTGCGGAAATATGACATGTTTATGTATTTTCATAGTTTTATAGCAAAAATTATACGAAAAAATATTATTGTAATCCAAAATATTTTTTAAAAAAATAAAATTTAAAATTTTAAAAAAATTATACGAAAAAATATTATTATAATCCAAAATATTTTTTAAAAAAATAAAACTATAAAAATAAATTTTAAACCAGTTTAATATTAAAAAAATAAAATAGATAAATAATTTTTTTTTAAAAATAAAAAAAAAATTATATAGAAATACATTGCAGCAATCTATAATATTTTATGAGTAAATATATATTTTAATTATCAATCAATTCAATATTAACAAAATAAAATCAATAAATATAATATAGAAATACACTGCAGCAATCTGTAATATTTTATGAGTAAATATATATTTTAATTATCAATCAATTCAATATTAACAAAATAAAATCAATAAATATAACTTTTAAAAGAATCATAAAAAAAACCATACAGAAAAATATTATAACAATTTATAGTGTTTCATGAAAAAATCTATAGTTGTAATTTTCAATCATCTTAATATTAAAAATAATAAAATAGATAAAAATAACTTTAAAAAAATTATATAAAAAAATAATGTAGAGAAACACTTTAGCAATTAATGGTGTTTTAAAGAAAAAATATAAAGTTAAATTTTCAACCAGCTCGGTATAAAAAAACAATTCAACAAAGATAATTTAAAAAAAATTGATGAAAAAACAATTCAAGAAATACTATAGCAAGAAAAAATTATATGAAAAAATATTGTAGTAATCCATGATATTTTTTATAAAAAAAAAAGCTACAAAGCTAAATTATCAACCAGCTTGATATGAAAAAAACTAAAATTAGCAAAAATAATTCTAAAAAAACAAAAAAAAAATGACATCCAGAAATACTATAGTAATCAACAGTGTTTTAAAGGAAAAACTATAAAACTAAATTCTCAACCAGCTCAATATTAAAAAAAAAAAATTCAACAAAGAGAATTAAAAAAAACATATGGAGAAATATTATAGCGAAAAAAAACCATGTGGGGAAAATATTGTAGC